GGCCAGCCTGGAGAGGGTTCAGAGGAGGGCCACCCGCTTGGTGAGAGGGCAGCAGGACAGGCCCTATGAGGAGAGACTGATGGACCTGAACCTGTTCAGCCTCAGCAAGAGGAGGCTGAGGGGGGACCTGGTGGCTGCCTACAAGCTCATCAGGGGGGGGGATCACCAGCAAAAAGGCAGAGCTCTTTTCTCCCCAGCACCACCTGGTGTGACGAGGAACAATGGTCATAAGCTGATGGAGAATAGGTTTAGGTTGGAGATCAGAAAGCAATATTTTACAGTTAGGGTGGCCAAAATCTGGGACCAACTTCCCAGGGAGGTGGTCCTCACCCCTACCTTGGGCATATTCAAGAGGAGGTTGGACGATCAGCTGTCTGGGGTCTTGTGAACCCAGCATTCATTTCTGCCTGTGGCAGGGGGTCAGGCTAGATGATCTGTTCAGGTCCCTCCTGACCCTAGCTACTATGATGATGATGATACATGACTCCCCTCTCGAAGCAACTCCCCAGCAGTTTTCATATATCTGTATTAGAGCAAGTGTCAGTTTTGGCACAGACATAGGCAAGGACTCCTGCGCTGCTGAAGGCTGAAAGGTTATACCAAGTACTCTGAACTCCACATGTATATTGGGGGCATAGACAAACACCATGTTTGTTCTGGCATAGCAGTGCTTCACGAACATAAAGAAAAAAAAGTGAGCAGAGGCGGCAAAAACCTAGAACAGGATAATTTCACCTAAACTTGTGGGGATTAAATCTAAGAGGATTTTGGAATGAACCCCTAACTGGTATAAATTACAACAGTTTATGTTGCACCTGTCTCCATTCATCCTGGGACAGCCATTTGCTAAAAGGCAAAGAGACTATTACCCATTCCACTGTCACCATATTAAGAGACTGCCTACCAAGAACAGCATCCCTAGGATAACCTGCCCATTCCTGATTCCACATAAATTATACTGGTCTACAAAAATCAATGTAGATTACACAAACTCCTCTTATATTGTCTTGAAATGTGAAATCTAGTGACTCTTGTGGTAGTTCTCACTAAGGATTCAAGTTTGGGGTCACCAGAGGCAAGGATACAGCCCCCCTCCCCTTCAAAAACAGCTTTTCTAGACATTGTCAAATTTGACATTCCATTTGTTTCCTTGGTTTGGTTTGTGCAGTCCTAGGGATTGAATCATGACTTGAGCATTTTTCAGAAGGTCTAAGTCGCTGATGCATGGCAAACAAGCCCTCTTTAGTGAAATAAAGTCAGAAATGGAAGCACATGTGCTGCTGTCTATGGGTTGGAGAAGGAGGAACACACACCAGTTCTCACATTTGTTATGTAGCAACTTCACACATCAAGATTTTGGGATGCCAAACATGTCTGATTCCTTATTACCCTTGTCTGTAGCTACATACTGGAAACATATACAGCTATAATCCTTGTTTAAAGAGAATATATAGAAACACTTAGGAATCATACGGTATTTACATAGTCCCTATAGGCTCTCAGGAGCAAACCAATACAATAGCTCCAACTGTTAAGTGATCACCAACTCCTACAAAAAAAACCCAACCAACCAAACAAACGAACAACACACCTTTTTCCAATGAAAGCTTCGTTGATGCAGAACTAATGTTGTCCAGTAGCGTCCTTTGCCTTTCCTGGATGTTGGGTTCAGCTAAATTAAACTTCTTGATCTTCAGAAGTTTGAAAATTAAAGTACCTGTCCAGGCAGCCCAATCCATCCATAACTCACAGTATCTGCCTTTACCCCACACTGAACCAGAGCTGCCCGATTAGTTGAAGATAGCCTATTCCACATAAAAAACAAAAATATCTACCAAGTTTTATGGGCCATTCATTATTAGACACACAAGGCCAGCTATCTCCTGAGGATTAAACTAATAAGCAGCATTTCTCCCTCACTATCCCGCTAACAATATGCAGAGCAAGAAAATCCCTACTACAGACACAACCTACACAATAGCAGCACTGAAATAAAGCATTCTGGATCACTCAAAATGCAAGTGAACCTCTTACCTATGTATGTGTGATCAAAGGAAAGGGAGAAGAACTCATTTCCACAAAACACCACCATATTCACAACTATGCCAGATAGCTCTAACAAATCTTTCCACCCTTCAGAACAGCTGCAGCTAACAAAGTGAACACAGCTGTAGTGCTCACACATAATTCCATTAGCTACTGCCAGCTCTGGGGAAGTTAAAGATAAGACTCTGAGATATGCAGGAAAAAGGGTAAGTGTCCGTAATTTTCAGGTTCTTTTGTTAGATAACATTTTCTGAAAGGCACAAGATATCATTAGTACCCGTTTTGAGGCAGTTTCAAACGCTGCCGTTAGCTTGCTGGGAACAAACAGACTTTGGCACTGCCCCTAGTTTGGGGTTTCTAGACAATCCAAATATAAATATCTAACACAGCATTTATGAGTAAGGACTACTAAACCAGATAGGCCCTGAAACTAGATACACCTCCCCAAGCCTTCTCAGGAGTTTTTTCATGTTCTCTAGAATTAAGGTGCAAGTGAGCTTTCTTATTTTAAAAGGGTACTTTGTCAGGGATACATCACACACAGATTTGCACAACATTTCTAAATACAACTGCTTTTTAAATTAAAAAAAAAAGTCAAAGATGGTTTAGATTATTTAGAAAACAGCAAATATCTTGAGTACAATTGTCATTCTGACTCACTTTTCTCTTGAGAATACAACCATATTCAGGAAAGCAGGATTTACTTCTACCTCATAAGGCTTACATAACATCTCACCTCAATTTCAACTCCTAAAAAAACCCAACTGGAGTAAAATAGACCCTACCCTTTTAATCAACCCTAACAGATTCTTCCCAGGTGACTTATTTCTAGGCAACCTCACACCTGATAAACCAGTTTTCCTGAGTAGGAACTAGCTAGCTTATTGTCTGAGAGCAATTTCATTTTAATAGGAGGGCAATTAACTCAGTGATCCTCTTCTGTTAGCCTTGTATGAATAGGCTTTGGAATTCCACTTTGACACAAGACAAGAAAGAGAGAAGGCAAAGAATACTACCATCAAAACAGAGTTTAGACAGACACATATGACATCAGATAGGAAAAAAGATGTACATTGAAAAGATTTCTCTAAATCATCACATCATTATTATTTTGTCACTGAAAAGTCATCAAAATTTAGTTTTTTGTATCCTCTAAACTATTCCTTACGACTAAAGCTCAATACATGGTGGAGGGTCAGCATGAGGCTCTCAAAGACAACCTAAATCTTGTGCAGAGGGGTTAAACAGAATATTTGTTTTTGGTGCACAGGGATTTACATAAATCCTCAAACTGAGGTAAATTTCACTTTCTTTAACTACTGGCTTTTTCATTTGATGAGTTATTCAGTATTATCAGTTTCAGCTTTATCATTATTCAGTATTATCATTATTCAGTTTCAGTGGTGGAAGATGACAAGGAGCAATGGTCTCAAGTTCTATCAAGGGAAGTTTAGGTTAGATATTAGGAAGAATTTTCTCACTAGGAGGGTAGTAAAACACTGGAACAGGTTACCCAGAGGCGGTGGAAGCTCCATCTTGAAGGTTTTTAAGACCTGGCTAGACAAAGCCTTGGCTTAGATAATCTAGTTGGGGCTGGTCCTACTTTGATCAGGGGGTTGGACTAGATGACCTCCTGAGGTCCCTTCCAACCCTCATTTTCTATGATTCTATGATTATGAAACGGGACTGATGTCAAGCTTACTTGCTATAAACTACCCTGCAGCTTGTAAATACAAACCTGTAAGCCATCAACTTTTTGTTTCTTTTAAACAGACTATGTCTTTTTGTATTTTGTACTACATTCAAACTCTCAAAATAAAAATAAGCATATTCGGGTAAATATTACAGCGTTTTTATTGACTATAGCCCAAAAAGATATTATGCAGGTGCATTATGATAAATGTACACAGTATAATTAAACTGTCATAATTCTTCTCTTAAGTAATTAACATATCAAGAACAACATTAACAATTGAGTGCATCTTGTCTCGCTAACCAATTTGATCAAATAGACTTTAAAATTATGCTTTAAATTTCTTTTATCCAGTGTGAATTGGTACTGTTTCCATCACATCATGAGATGGATTAATATTCATGGATATTTCAGATAGTAAGCCACATAGCTACATGCTGTTTTGATTCTGACTCTATTGCCAGCTTTAATCTCAAAAGTCTTCCATTACTTCAGTCTTTCAGGACTTCAAAACATTTTAGCTCAAACCAGAACTGCAATATACACAAATACAGACTGGTGCATGTACAAATGCAGACTGGAGAGCAGCTTGCTGGGCTGCAGTATTGCAGAAGAGAACCTAGAGGTTACTTAACATCATAAACTGAATATGAGCCAACAGTGTGCTCTTGTTGCAAAAAAAGCTAACAGCATACTGAACTATATTCACAGGAGTGTCGCTTGCAAATCCAGGGAAGAGATTTGTCTGCTCTGTTCAGTATGGGGGAGGCTTCACCTGGAATACTGTGTTCAGTTTTGGGCCCCACACTTAAAGAAGGATGTGGACAGATTGTAAGGAGTCCAGCAGAAAGCAACAAAAATCATTAGGGGCCTGGGAGGCAAGACTTATGAGTAAAGGCTGAAAGAACTAGGGTTATTTATACTCTGGAGAAGAGAAGACTGAGGGGGAATTTATGACAGTCTTCAGATGCCTGAAGGGTGAGTATAGAGAGGATGGAGATAGCTTTTCTCTATGGGCATAGGGGACAGGATTAGAGTAATGACCTCAAAGTGCAGCAGAGGAAGTTTAGGTTGGAGATTAGGAAGAACTTTCTAACTGTGAGGATGGTCAAGCCTTGGACCAGGCTACCTAGAGAAATTGTAGAATCACTGTCCTTGGAAATTTTTCATGAGTAGGTTGGGCAGACACTTGGCTGGGAATGTTTAGTCAGGAATGATTCTGCCCTGAGCAGGGAGCTGGACTAAATTACCTTGTGAGGTCCTTCTAGCCCTACTTTCCTATGATCCCATGTTACCAGAAATATACAAGTTAAAATTATTATATGCTATGATTAATAATACCTCCCACCGTTATTTACAAGGTATTTTCAAATACGGATATTTATCTAATTACAATTGTTAAAATAGTCATTATCATTCCCTGTACATACTGTAAATCCACACTTCTTTGCATTCAATGAGAAGTCCAATAAGAATTAAAGTGGCAGTAAGAGATCAAACAAATATGAAAAAACACTCATGAATTCACACAAAAGTTGCACATAGGATGGATTTTTTTATTAAGTAATAAAAGGGGTCTGTTCTTCTATGAAAGCAAAAAAAAACTCGTAGTGAAACTGGTGTGTTTCTATTGCTTGGAAAGGGCAGATTTACTTGAGTACCAATATGCAAGATTTTGTTTTCCTAATTTCCACCTATTTACATTCTCACTGGCATCCTGTCACACATTTAGCTTCTTTCATTCCTTGGAGATCTCAGAACAGCAGATTCCCTATGCCTGAGAGAGGGTGCTTGTTCCCCAAAGCTTGAAAAGATCTTTTTTCCCAACTACTCAGGCGGTCTAATAAAAGATATCACATCTACGCAAAGAACCTTGCCTGCCAATATGCAAGATAGAGAGGGAAAGGGAAGTGCATGTCCTACATAGTGCTATGCCCTGTAAATCCTGCTACATAAACACATCAGGTAGATTGTATTTAAGTCCCATGTCTAAACCAGACTTTATGTCTGTTGCCATCTAGTTATATACAGACACTTGATTCTCTACTGCTGCTTTCACAGTGAACACAATTTTGCTACCATTACTAGACACGCTGCAAAATCCAAAAATCTCTGCACACACTGAAAGAGGAGCACAGGTACTTTGGCTTTCCAATTCCTTTTAGGAAAGCTCATTATCTGCACAGATCTCCCTTATTCTCAATCCGTTGTATGCTATTTCCTGATTTAGGCTGAGTAATATTCTTCATTAATATTTGCTGAATGTGAATAATTATAATTTCAGGTGTTATGAAGCCTACAAGCCCCAGTCCTTTAAAGAGAAGATTCAGTGGGGGGTTTTCCAGCACAGGGGTCTGCCTCTCCCCTTGCAGGACTGGACTCATATTACACCTATGTAACAAGAATTACTTCTGAACATGCTTGATTTTATATACTGAAGTCATCCTGTATTAATGACAATGTAATCACAAAAGATTACAATTCTGTCCCATGCTGGTATTAGACAAAACAGAACTCAGCACTGATTGTTTGTATAAGGAAAAGGTATATAATGAGCTTAGAAAACTTTTTTTTTCAGTTTAAACTCTGCATTACTTTGTCTAGATTAATGACATATTAGGTTTTACATCAAATCCATAGAGAAGCTTTGAAATATCTTACAAAGCTCAGAGATTTAATAAAGCTATTTATGAGGACTATCTTGAGGATTGTACTTGATTAATTAACTTAATTAATAATGCTATATGCAGACTTTTGGACAGAACACACACTCTGTTTCATTTACCGACAGAGATAAGGATGACATTCTAAAACAAACAAAAAACTAATGACCAGTAATAACTACAAGTAACAACCAAAAAGGGAATAACTGTGATAATCTCTCCCTTTGTTCCATTATGGCTGATCTACAACTATGAAAGGCTGTATAGCCCTTAACCCAAGATTAGGGACATAAAAGAAACAACATATTACCCCCACTCTTCTTTGAATGCCCCAATATGGTTGGGGGAAATACTATCCTTGAGTGCATATACACATGCAGGAAGAGTGCTCTGATTAATCAAGTCTGCTGGAATGTGCTAATTAGCGTGCTTCAGCCAGTCTCTGTGTCTCATGTATCAGTATCCCTATGCTTCAAAATGGCAGCAGGGGCTTTAAATTTCTTTTCTCCAGTGTGAATTGGTACTGTTCCCATCACATCAGGAGATGGATTAATATTCATGGACATTTCAGATGCAGCAGGGGCTTTAAATTTCAGCAGCAAATTTGACGAGCTTTAGTTAAACCACCCCCACCACTATTTTGAAGCGTGGGGATGCTGATATAAAACACACTGTGGGTGCTTTAATTAAAGAGGCTCTCAAAGCTTTTTTAATTAAAGCGCCTCCTGCCCATCCCCCACCCCCTTCATCCCTGGAACACTTGTAAAAACACCCCTTGTGTTCAAGAGATCATGGAGACAACTCCTGCTATGTTACCTAAGGTCAGTGACATATATGGGGGCTGGTGTGAATTCTATTCTGAAGTGCCTGACCTCCCCTGAGCTAGAAAAAAGGCTTAGGGCACCTAACTCAGGGTTTAGATTATACTGCAGGAGCCAGGCACCAAGCATCGCAATGGTCAAGTCTCTTAGCAGATTTAACCCTGGGTCCCTCGGAGTAACAGTTCCATACCTGTACATGGAAAAGAACAAACAACTATGGCCTGATTTCTAAGAGTGCTAAAGGAATATTAAGAGATGTTTAGATGATGGTGGATATGTAACTACCCAAGATATTTTATAAAAAGAATATTAGCAACCTAAATGTCTCTCTTATTCTGCACATCCAGGTGTATAATTTGTATGTTGTATCTATTTAAGAGCACAACATTTGTACACATACCAAATTCAGACATAGAAGATAAATTCAGATAAAATGTGGATAAGGGGAAAGAAGTGAAAGAAAAAAATGGTAGAAATGTTACAGTCCATGTGCAAGCATCTAGAGGAGGAAAGGCTGATAAGAAGCAGCCAGCATGGATTTATTAAGAACAGATTGTGCCAAACA